GACTACACAGCGCAACAACCCAGAAGACAGAAATCTTCATACTCATCGCCCTGATGATGGAGGCAGTATGACCTCCGAAACGTTGGTAAACATCGACCAGACTTCACAGCGCAACAACCCAGAAGACAGAAATCTTCATACTCATCGTCCTGAGAACCTCAAATTCTACTGAAATTAATTTAATAATTAGGCCCATATTTTGATGATCGCTAAACACTAAATCCTAGTGAAGCATATTTGTTGAGAACCGAGGTTTTAATGTAGACAGGCTGAGAAATTTCCACGTATAAAATCTCGTTCTGATAAAAGTAACAAACTCATAAAAAGAACTGTGGTTAACTAACATTACCGACAAAATGATTACTAATAATTGGTTATGAGAATTTTAAGTACGTTAAAATACCTCAGTGTAGAATAAGTTGGCGGGGTTTTGTGGTTACTGTCATGAATCATCGTATTCATTAATTCACAATTCACTGCATATGAAATGTTTATGGAAAGAAGCTTTACCATAAAATACTCTGCCCTTCTTCTGATATATTTTTTAAATGGTCATCCTTGTCTCGTCTTAAAGATGGCTGGAAGTGAAGTTCTTTGGGATGTCTAACGTTTTTAAATATTCTGACGTAACGTAGCCAGTTTTACTATAGGCCTACAATAACTTAGATAGGTCTATAGCAAACATACAAATGTCCTTCAAAATCGTCAGTAAAATTTTTAAGCATCCGGTCCATACCACAAAGAAAACACAATGACTTACCATTACAAGGACCAACTGGTAAATGGTATTTATGCAACTCATCGCTGTTTAGACCGAGAATCGTACAAAACATATAAATTCAAAACGTGGGACTATTTCTTGTGAAAGCAGGTCGTACATACAGTTACAATAGTAATTGTATAGGCGGCCAGAGTTCTGTTACCGACATAACAAAAGCGAAACTCAGATGAAGTGTTGACTGACTACATAGCTTACGAAGTACAATCGTCGTTATAAGAAATTCACGATATTTCTGATGATAATTTATAAAATATTTCCAGTACTTCTGTTATTCATGTTTAATAATTCTAATTTACACCTCGGATGATTATGTAAATACATTATGTATGGATATAAATACTGTTGCACATAGAGTCATTTAAACATTACATTCCCAGAATCTTAATGCAGAGGGTACCAAAATCATTTGATTAAGTTACACGTAAGTTTAAAACTAGCGGATGAATTTTATGAGAATATGACGTAAGGAAGATTCTATTGACATTGTAAAAAATCCAGATTAAAATGATTTGAATTCACGAATACTGTTGAAAGCAGCGTACAGTTAAAAATGTCACAATATCTGGATATTAATAGTTAATAACTGATGTTTGGTGAGCAGTCCGATACAATATTACAGATATGAAATAAATAAGGTTATTTATCTAAATGGTTGTGTGTTGACTGATGACAATATAATGATTATAATCCACAACATGACACTAGAATACAATTAGTCCAACAAATCACACGTTGATTGAACAATAGCAGTAAATACGAACTTGAGTAATAAATACGATTAAAGAATTAATATAAAGTTTTGGGTAAGTGATTACGATATACTTTAGGTTAGCTATATATATATAAGGATTTGAATACAGGTTCTAAGAACAGCTGAGTCAACTTCAACAGCCCTGATGTGAGACAGAAATCATGAAGACATTGTCTTCACAGGCGTACAAAGCCTATGCTCAGCAAACATGGTTTCTTTCCTTCAAAGAAAACAAGCCAACAGTTTAACGTGCATTGTAGCTACGTCACATAACAATATCGACTGAATCATAAAATGTACCCATCTAAAATCATCGATGATTTTCATCAACTGATCATGCTGAAATAATTAACAATGAAAAACTTACAGATTAACACTTCAAAAATAGAAAAAAAATTGACATTTACTATCTTAAAACCATGTGGTGTTTTCCTAACCTAACCTAACCGAACCTAATCCAACCTGACCTAACCTAACCTAACCTAACCAAACCTAACCTAACCTAACCTAACCTAAAATAACCTCACCTAAACTAACCTAATCTAACCTAACCTAACCTAACCTAACCTAAAATAACCTCACCTAAACTAACCTAATCTAACCTAACCTAACCTAACCTAACCTAAAATAACCTCACCTAAACTAACCTAATCTAATCTAACCTAACCTAACCTTACTTAACGTTTGAAGGGGATTCATCTTTCATTCACGTAAATGTTAAGGCAACTCTAAATAACAGTAATCAAACGCAATTTAACTTTGACCAATTAAAAATCTTAATGTGAGGTCGACAAGTCACTTAATAAAGTAATGTCTTTCTTGAGAGCCTAGGTTTAAGAAAATTATCCACCTCTGTGAAAGCCGAAGGTCCATACAACAGCATCTAAAAGATTAAGATTTTGTGTCTGAATTTGAATTTCTGCCCCTGGAAATCACTGCCTTGATTCAATCAACTTTGTGATATTTTGCATCGTGCAACGAAACGTAGAAAGCCCGTGTTTAGGCAGGCAAGATAAAGGAAAACTTGTTTACTTTGGTAGTATCCTGTATTTAAGCCACGAGTTGTTTATTCACGAGCAGATAAAATGAAATATGGTTCTGGTAACTTGTCAGACCTCGGTTCCGAAATAAATTCCACCGTTTCAACGTATAACCAAAACAACTTTATGTTTCTATGTTATCATAAACCAGAGTCAGGTACGACTTAAATTGGGTATAAATTAGTTTACATCCATTGAAGCCAAGGCTCGCCTGAATAATATTTTATAATTCAGTCCGTACCGAAAAGAAAACACCGCGATTCACGATTACAAAACGTCAACTTCTTAACTCTGTTTAAAGAAATAATCCCTGTTTACACTAAGAATCATATGAATAAAATCACAGATTTATTAATTTTTAAAAGCAGGTGGAACATATATTTACAAATTGTTAAACGATGTGTTGTGATGTAGACTTATACTTAAGATGTCATCAGAAACATAATGGTCTAGCTCAGGACACGTACCTTTACGTAGAACGAAGGTAACAGACGTGAAATTCAGCCTATAAGTAGGCTTACAATGACAACAGATCTCTAGACTAGTTATAAAATACCTGGGCCTGAACTTTCGACATTAATTATAAAACTGGAAATCTGTTGGTATAATGACAGCCAGTCTGCACCTTAAGATGTGGATAGACTTATTCCCGGAACGTCGTATAGGCCTTATTAAACGGACTATAGGCTACCTGAGGGAAAGGAGATGATCAACTACTCAAAAAATAAATAACAAAAGACCACCTGGATGATTTGGGCGTAGACGGGAGATAATATTAAAATAGATACTGAAGTAACAATGCTTAAACTTATG